AAATCTTTCCTCAATCTGTCCAGTCAATCTCTCCTCACTTCTATTTCAGGCCCTGAAGTACCAGGCCTTGGTGGATGACCTGAACCACAAACGTCTGAAGCTGAGTCTGGTTGAGCTTTTTTATAACGAGAAGAGCATCAGCGCCATTAGTGAGACGCTGAGGGAGAAACAAGAGGATGCAGCGGGAAAGACCGACGAGTTGGTTACTGCAGAGCAACGCGTCAAAGCCCACAAAAAAGAGCACGGACGTCTCAGCAGAGAGCAGCAGCACCTGGAAAAAGAAATACGGTGTGTTTTTGCTCCAGCAACATTTACAAAGTTTTTTCTCTTTACATCTTTGAATAAAACAAACGCTTAAGCTTAAATAACAAATGATTGTTTTACAGATCAGTGTTTTTACCAAGGCAAAAATAATCACAGTATATTTTAATTTGAATACCTGGATGATTTGAATCATAAGCATCAAGACACTTATCAAACTACAAATCGCCACTTTTAAACATCTTTATAATTATACTCTCCCAACTAAAGTGGAAGCTTTCACTACAGTCACAGCCTGTGTTGATATAAAGAAATATGTATCAGTCTTAGTAAAGTATTAACTTCAAGGTAAGAATTCCTGTTATTCTGTTTCAAAGGGGTCAGGAGCACATCCTGGCTCAGTCCAGCTCGCAGTACGTCAAAGCCAAAGTGAACACATCTCATCACATAAAGAAGGCTGCAGAGATCAGCGCCGCTGTGATGAGGAACAAGAAGAAGTTGGAAAGTAAAGAGCAGGAGCTGGAAGAAGGTCAGCAGGAAATGGCTGAGCTTGAGAAGACGTGGAGGAGGTACGAGAGGCAGACCCAGGAAGAAGGAGTCGCAAAGGGAAGAGACATCAGTCTAGATGAGGATCAGGTATTTATTACAAAGATCACACCTGACTATGCTTTAGCTTAGTAGTTGTTTTTTTGTACAGCTTTTTAAGAGTTTTTAAAGTGAAAACATGTTTTAAGGAAACGTATTTACTGTATAACTAAAAAGATAAAAAGCATTTGATTCTAAAATGACAATGTGTACATTTGTTTAGTAAGACAGTCTGCCAATAGAAAAAGATTATTTACATTTGAAATAAGAAAAAAACACCTCCATCATCTTATTTCAAGTGTTTAATAACTAATTATCCTATTTAAAGGGTAAAAATACTCTTTCCATTGAAAGATCATTTTACTGAATGAAATTCAAATACTCTTAATAATTAAAAAAATCTATTTTGCTGCAGATTACTGATAACATGTGATTTGGAATAATTTCCTGAAATAGATGCTGAGTAAATAACCAAATATAGATCATCACAAAGTATTAATAAAGCTTCATGCAGCTTCTTCGGCATTAAACTCCAGGTACCGTAGACCTGCAGAAAGCCTGAAAAGAACAGCTGAAAAGATAATTTCTCTAAAACCTAATGTCCTGTTGTTTGGTTTTGCATTGATCTGTGTCACAGTTAGATCAATATAAGGAGCTGAAGAGGTTAGCCCAGAAGCAGGCGGCCGTCCTCTTCCAGCAGGCTGAGAAGCTACAGTGGGAAGTGACAGCAGACACTGAAAAGCTGGCTTTTGAGCAGCGCAGAAAGAAGGAAAAAGAGGTACTTTTATTTTTTCTGATTCTTGAAAATTCCTCTCTCTCTGTAGATTTATTGTATTTTCATTAGATTTGAATGGTTCCAAGTCTCTGAATGGTTATATTTGAACATGTCATCGACTGACTCATCATTAGGGTTGAGCATTGTTTGAATTTGAACTATTCTGATTCCTGATCTGATTCTAGTTCTGATCGATTCTTGTTTCTGAATCTTTTATGAGGAAAAATTATAAAAGTTTCAATGGCATAAATGAGCTGCTAACCGGAGCGCTCTCTGGATGAGATAGAAACACATTCACATGTATCCAGCGTCTGATACTTCAGGTACCGATACAGCTCCTCACTAGTCTGTGAAGTAGAAATGTTTTTCTTTTATGGGCAGAGGAACGATCAGATTTTCATACTCAGTCGTTCAGTTAGTGGGTTTCATTATATGAAAGAGATCAAACATGAACTAGAAAAAAAACAATTAAAAC